CGGCCCGCCGGCCCCCGACACTCACCGGAGGGGCTGGCACGATGGCGGCAGCGGCGGCGGCAACCCAGCGCGGTCTGCGACCGACTGTCCCTTCCCCCCTGCCTTCCCTCGCCCGCCGCTTGGCACTCTGGGAAACGTAGTCCTGTTACTCGCCTTTCCGGCAGAGCGCTGAAAAAGAAAACTACAGCTCCCGGTGTGCTACGCGCGGAGGCCCAGACACGGCCTGCAGCGCGGGAGGTGAGGCTATACTAGGGAGGGAGGCTGCCGAGGCGAGCCCCTGAGAATTGTGGTCTAGCGGAAGCCTCTGGAACACTGGAGGTTGGCGCCAGGCAAGGGTCAGGGCTCAGTTGTCGCCTGGTCCCAGCTGACCCGGCCCCGCCCAGACTGAGGCGATGGGTGTTGGTCCCGCCTTCATGGGAGCCAGGCCAGGCCCCAAGCTGGCCCAGCCGCCCCTCCCTTGGCCCCTGAGTTGTTTCCGTTCGCGAAACCGTCTCCCCTTTAGGGATTTCGAGGGGTTTTCTCTGCCTCTTCGAACCAGAAGCTGTACGACCTTAGCCAGCTTGGACAAAACCCACGATTTATGTTGTCTCAGTACTCGTGCGCTGGTAGGAGTTCATCGGACCTAAAGCTGGTTTCCAGCAAGCTAGTCTCTTTTGGGACCGTAGAGTAGACTGGCCCACAGTTGGGGCTTGGCTGGAGAGGCTACACTCGCAATTGTACAGTTAGGGGGAGTCTCCAAATATTCTCCTACATTTTATTTTTGCAGTAGACAGAGCAACTAAAGGTTTCATTTTTATACGGAAACAGAAATAACTAGCTCACCTAAAGTTTCCCCATGATTTAAGTGACCAGATTGTAAATCTTCCTCCCACCCGCTGCCCTTTCAAGAAGGCCCATTTCATCGTTTCCCTGGTAACGCAAACATTTAAATTAAGGCCTGTCACTGGGTTGAGCCTGTACTGGGCAAACAACTCTTAAGGGAAATGGCTCCAAAGCTTCCCTCCAGGACAGAGATCTCTCATTACTCTCGTTTTTCTAGAAGCCTTTAGCACCTTTACCCACCTCCACTTCCCTTTGGGGATGGCTTAAAAGACAGCCAAAGTTATGTTTATTAAATCTCAGGTCTGTGCATACTACTTTGCCTGACTGGATGCTTCTCTTATTACTCAGCCAGTGAAATTCTTGCATTGCCCTGCATGTGATGCATATTTTTCTGGGCTGTCCCTTGCTTAATGTCTACCTTCCCCTAAGAAGCCAAAACACTGGAGTTTATGTACATGTAACCCTCAAACATCACGGAGAGTCCTGAGAGAGCAGGGAGGTTCAAGAGAACCAAAGCCAAAGGAGGGGGAGGAAAGGGGCGCCAGAGAACTTTCTGGGGAGAATCCCTTCAGCAACAGGGAGTTTAAGGATATACTAAGAGCATGGTGGGAGCATGGGAAAGCCCTCACTCCAAGGTAGAATGGAAGATTGTGAAAAACTGGCCCAGTGCTTTTACCACCTGATTGCTATCCAGAGCTGCCCATGGGAAGGCAGAGATCTTACCGCTCCCCAAACCAGGTGCCTACACAAATTGTGCTAGCCTCTCTTCCCCAGACCTTTCCCACCAGAGATTTGTTTTCCAATTCTGTGCAAAGGACCAGAAGAAAAGCAGAAACTTTAGAGCCATTCCAGCTCTAAGCTACAGAGCAAGTCCCCAAGCAGCTGGCTTTGTTCTAAGTAGCACAGAGAAATAAGTCATATTTTAGGAAACCCAAGAAGTGCCCATTTGTGCCCCAAAATGCATAGTAAACACGGCTAGCATTAAAGGCATTCACCTCTCCACTTTTTAAATCACATAGTTATAAAAATGTCACCTCTGTTCCTCCAATATCCAATATAAAGAAAAACAGAGGCAGCCAAGAAAACTACTCAGAGGGTCACAAACTCCAATCTTTTCATGCCCTTTATGGTTCTAGTTCCTTCACAGAGGGACGAGTCCTTACAAGAGTCCTTGCACCTGAAAGACTATGGCTAGATCCAGCTGTGGTCTTCCCTGATTTATTAAGATGCCTGCATGCATATGTATGTCATACACTGTGCTAGGCCTAAGAGATGTAATGAGGAGCAAAATTCAACCCCAGCTAAGAATTCAAGAAGGAATCCAAAACCCTCAGAGGTAGGCTATCGCAATTCACAAGCTTTGTTCTCAGTTGCTCTTTCTTGTTGAAAGGACAAGATAACCTCTTGCCAAACTGGGAATATTGGTGCAATTTCTAAACTCTTTGGGGTAGGCTGGGTCAGGAACTCTGTGAGGCCAGGGTCCATGTGTTTTGGGTTCCTTTATGGAGATACTTGGTCACTGAAACATCTCTACTCTTAGGGTCACCTGCTCTTTAAAATAGGCCAAGACCTCAATAGGTAATGACATTTAGCTGAGTGTAAAAATAAAATGGCGAAACCCAAATACAAACCTTACTTTTTTGTTTAATTTGTTTTGCCAAACAAACACAGTGAAAACTTTAGTCTGACTAATTGTACAGAAAATAGAATTTGTAACCAGTAGCAAACATAACGAGATAAACCTAAGTCCCTGGCAAGCTGGATCTCCATCACCCAGATCCCCTCATAAATGGCCTCCTGGGGAGGGAGGTCATAAGAGGCAGAGGCACAGATCTATCAGTCCCCATCAAAATCGCAGGCTGCACCTGGAAAGGAAAAGCATGAAGAGGAGGACTAAAGTGACTTGGATCTCTTATCACTACACAGAGTTCTCTGACTGCTGACCAACCTTAAGTGTGGTTTTCCCAAACCCATAGTCTTGGGCATCCCACCTGAATCCCTGGGGGTGTGTTTCAAGTTCAGTGGTTCTGAAGCCTCTGCTTAACCAGAATCTGCAACATAAACTGGGGAGGGAGGAGAGACAAAGTCATAATTGCTGGTGTCACCAGTGCAGTCTTAAGTCTCAGACCCCTGCTTCAGGAGGAAACGGTGAGGGTGCCAGATCACCAGCAAATTAGTCCAGCTGCCTTAAGCCTCAGAACTGTCAACCAGTGCCCCAGGAGTATAAGGGAGTTAGTTCAACAGTGGCCTGAAGTCTCTCTGGGTTGAAAGGGGTCTGAGAGTCCCATGGCCCGGTAGGGGTACTCATTCACATTCCATGCTTCTTGCGGATGACAGCCATGGCAAGCAGGCGATCCTTCTCACGCAGTTCTTCACGCAATTTGGCCTCGGTGAGACGCAGGTGGCGAATGCTGCCCTTCATTTCTTTCATCTTCACTTCCATCAGGGCCAGGATGTCCCGCTGCTCATTCAACTTGCGAAGGAGCTCCTCCTCTGTGGTGCCTGACGACAACGAGTACGAGTGGTCGGAGCCAGTGTCAGGGAAGCCCTCTTCCCCTACCACCACCAGCTGGGGGCCCATAGGACACTCAGCGGCCTCCAGCCCTGCCGTAGCAGCCTCTAACTCCGACGCGGCGGCCGCAGCAGCTGCGCCCTCTGCGGCTGCGAACTCCACTTGCACTGTAAGGTCGATGGGCTTTACATCTTCTCCAGTGGGAGTGGTGGGCGCTGGCGGCACGGATCCTGGAGCTTGGCTGCTGTCTACAGCGGCCTGAAGGGTAAGAAGCACAGCCGCAGAGGCAGACACCAGGTTCGGCTGCAGCTGGGCGCTCTGGGCAGTGGAGGCGGACGGCGCGGTGCGCCCCCCTCCGCAGCTCCCGCGCGTCGACGCGCTACTTTGCGCTCGTTGACGCCACGCAGCGGGAAGATGGTGGGGACGCGCACCGTGTAGGTCTTACGGCCGCCCTGGAAGTGAACGCTGCAGAGACGATGCCCCGTGGTGGGCTGGAAGGTGGAGAAGCACCCACTGACGCCGGCCCGGGACACGTTCTTGAGCCAAAGGCGCCGCAACTCAGCGTCCTTGGGAAATGTGTAGAAGTGCAGCGCCTTGTCCCGGTGCGAATTGTTGTAGCAGCCCGGCACACAGCACGTAAAGCCAGGCATGGCTGCGCCGCGCGGCCCGGCCCGGCCCACCCGCCTACTGCGCCCTTCGACGGCCCGGTCGGTC